CACACGGCAGGCAGGGCTGGACAGCTCCCGCTTTGATCTCTGGGCTCCCGTCCCTTCTCCAGCTGCCGGGCTGCCCCCGAGAGCTGCAGACTCTGCCCTCCGACGTGTCCATAAGTGTTTCCAAACTTGGAAAGGGCGAGGGTTCCCCACCTCTTTCCATTCCTTCTCATGCTTCTCTGTTCAGGATCCTCAGTCCTTCCATTGCCCCCGGGGAACATGGTGGGAAGGCCGGGGCGGGGGATGGGGAGGGCGGAGGTATGCAGACAGCGAGTCAGAGTTTCCCCTCGAAAGCCTCAAAAGTGTCCACGTCCTCAAAAAGAATGGAACCAATTTAAGAAGCCAGCCCCGTGGCCACGTCCCTCCCCCCGCTGCTCTCCCTCCTCGGCGCCCCCGCAGTCTCCTCCCAGCTGTGGCTGCCCGGGCCCCCAGCCCCAGCCCTCCCATTGGTGGAAGCGCTTTTGGAGGCACCCTCGGGCCGGAGAAACTTGGGCCGTATAAATAGGGCAGATCCGGGCTTTATTATTTTAGCACCAAGGCGGCAGGAGGTTTCGGCTAAGTTGGAGGTGCTGGCCACGACTGCATGCCTGCGCCCGCCAGGTGATACCTCCGCCGGCGACCCAGGGCCTCTGCGACACAAGGAGTCTGCATGTCTGAGTGGTAGACATGCTCAGCTTTGTGGATACGCGGACTTTGTTGCTGCTTGCAGTAACTTCGTGCCTAGCAACATGCCAATGTAAGTGCCTTCAGCTTGTTTCGGGCAGTCTGGGGAAGAGGTTAGAGGGGTGGGCAGGAAAACCTGGTCTGAAGTGGAAAACCTCGCCAAGTTCCAGGTACTGCTAGGAGGGCAGGCTCTCTGGCATGTGGAGAAACGCTGGCATATAGGAGAAACGTGGAAAATACTGTAGAAATGAAAATCGAAGGAGGCTCCCGACTCTCGCCCAAAGTTAGGGAACTTTTCTCTTAACTCGGAGTGAGGCTGTGAACCTCGTCTGGATCCTCCAGTTACTGAAGCTCAAAGGGAGCAGAGAATCTTTTTCTTTAAGGATGAGATGTTATCTGACATGACCGAGGAAGCCAAAGGCCTCCACCTAAAAGGCCCCATAACTGCACTGATGCCCACCTCTGTGAAACCTGAGGCCTGGTTTAGAAAACCTTTTAATTAAGTTACTAAAAAAAAAAACAAAACTCACGCCCTAAAGACTTTTCTGGGTGTTGTAAGACTGGTCTGGATGATGGTGACCATGAGGCGCCCTCTGGAGGGGGGACAAGGAGAGCACACGGGACCAGGGCTTAAGGCTCCTGCAATCCCCATTTAAAGACCCCACAGGGTTATATACAGAGATGTCTGCATTTCTCCTTGAAGCCAATCCCAGAAGCTAGTCAGTGTTTCCCGGCAAGGAAAATGGATACTTTCTGAAATGTAATTAGCTTCTCATTTCATTACCTGATCATGGAAATGGTAACATGATTTAGCTAAAATCTGCCCTGCCTTTTGTTGAGCCTGAGAGTTATCTCTTCAACATGTTCCCAGTGACAGGCATTCTGAACTTAGCAAATTGGGAAATTATCAACACTGATCTGGGTCTCAAGAGACCCAAGTTTTTCCCATGACTCTGCCAATAATTTATCATGTGACTGTGGGCAAGTCAAACTGAGCCTTTTCTAAACCACAGGATAGAAACTGGATGGACTCCAAAGCTGCTTTCCAGCTGTAGGTTTTATGACCAGATTGGGTATCTGGCCACACCCAACACTCTAAAACTTGGCTCCACCCATATGCCACGGTGTCTACCATTGCATCATTACTGATGCATTTGTGTGTGTGTTTTCTTCCTCCATCCACTTTGAGTATACTCACTGTGAATACTAAGGAATAATTGCATTGAACAAATTCACGTTACCAGGCTCATTTTTTTATGAGATCTGAGGGTGGTGGGGGAAAGGGTCCTCTCCTAAAGATGAAAAAAGAACTAGGGAAGTTTGAAGATACAAAGGACAATTCAACTTCTGATCAATATCCAACCCCAGTCTGAATAAAAGTTACCCAACACACATTCTTCAAAATGGCTCAGTCTGAATAATTAGAAGGCAAATTTCCAAAACCATGAGGACTTCCGTTAATCAAGCCCAGGCATAATTATTCTTCCTACTGATGAACACAATGAAGTAAACATATCATTTTCCTAATTTAAAAGTAATTCTCATAAATTGCCCTTAAATATCAGGGCTGGATGTGGTCCACCCTCCTGAATTGTGACTGCTACAACAGATGTTCTCACTCCAAATGACACACTTCTTGGCCACCTAATTAAAGCAATTTTGGGGGTGATTCATTTTGTTGCCAGCTTGGCCACATTTATATCCTGTGTTAGCCTGTAATTTTTATACTGTAGGAGCGGAATTCAGCCTTTAAGAACTTACAGCAATTATGGCAGAGGGGGAGGTTACTACTTTGGTGTATTTTTCCCATCATTTTTCTAGATCTTTAATGCAGTTTTTTCATTTGTACAGAGCAATTCTTTCTCAGGGCCAAAAGTGATTTATGTTAGTAAAATGACCTTACCTAATTTAAGTGAACCTATTTAAAGCAAAACTTCAGATGTCCAAATGAATCCATTTTCATGGTGACTAATTCACAAATTAGGCCTTTTGAAAAAGGACATTAAGAATGGTACAAACACTGTAATGTTAATGTTATATAAAAAAGTAAAATCTGCTTTAGGTAATATAATTTCCTAAATTTCCCCCCCTTTACATTTCTAAGTATCAAAAATTACCTAAACTACAAATTATTCCTCATCAATCTAGTGGTTTTGCTCACGTTCAGTGAGCCATTGTGCAATTTACCATCATAATTACTAAACATTACACGTATCCTTTAGACACATCAGTGTTTTGCAGCATTTATAAAATAGTAAATAATTAACAATTTAATTCAAAATATATTTACATATTAATATTTAAAACAAATGGTCCTGTTGATCCCTGCCATCATTTTGACCTGCCTAATTTCCAAGTCATCAGAATATCCTTAATAAAAAATACAACTGGTCCTTTAATTAGGTAAGTCAGTTTTATAGACAAGTATACTCATTTGTTAATCACTGCTGGTGATCAGTGAAATAACACTAATAATTATTTCTTTTTTCCCCTTTTCTCTATAGCCTTACAAGAGGTGAGTAAAATTATTTTTAGAATTTTTTATTTTAGACTTTGATTGCCTTGGCCACAGTAATCGTCTCTGGGGAAGGAAAAGGAAGCTGTATTGGTATTGACCAACCTCAGTTTCCAAAAAAATCAAGAGTTAAGGTAGTCCAACCTTTCTGGTTGCCTCAGGAAGTACCCACCCCAGTTTCCAAAATGGGCGGGGCTACTGAATAAGGCCACCCTAAAACCTACACCCATAAGAAAAGAAGAATAAATAATTCAGTGGAAGGTTGGGCGTTAGCACCAGCTTCCTCGGAGCTAGACTTCATCAAGCTAGAGAATTTTGTCACCCCCTGGAGTCATCTGCAAGATTACTATGAGCAAATTCTTAGCCATGAACTGAATTTGAGGTATAATTATAGATAAGTATATATCTGAGATCTGTATATATTTTTTATTGATAAAATGTAAATTGTACTTTGAAATATTAAGATAATGGTAATGTGCAGTATGTATAATTTGTAAGTATATTTGTATACTACATGGAAATGGAAGCCATTTTAAAATTTATACAATTTTCCTCATAATAATCTTTTACTTATTCTCTTCTAGGCAACTGCAAGAAAGGTAAGAATCCAATACTTCTCTGTATCTGAAATGATCAGAGATAACTTAGAGTTTAACTAAATTTATGGTACACTACAGAAGGAAAATACCTTGTCAAGATTTTGTGCATATGAATATGCATTAGCTAAACCATAAAATGAAGTAGCTTTGATATGTAAGATAGCAAAGCTTTATTATCTTCCAGAGTCATCTCTAATTATATTTATATTATACAACTGGTGACTTACATACTAAAGGAAAAGAAAAGATTTATTTTTGTTCGAGAGATGAACTGAGTATTATATTAATTATAGGTAGTAGACAAAAGTTTATTTTAAAGAGCTTTGACAATATAAATATGCTATTATTGATGTTACAAAATGATAATTTTATCCACAGAAATTATCTAAAAATAGTGGTTATAATATTGGACCTAATGCTGGAGACTATAGCCTCCAATCTCCCAGTGTAAAATAAAATGACATGTAATTATAATAAAAACAAAATACTTTTATCTATTGTATTGTGCTATTTTTATAGCTACTATCTAATAACATTATGGTTAGATCAGCCTCCTGATTAATCATTATCAAGAATGCTTTGCTCATTCACTGGAAATTGCTTAGACATTTATTATTGTGCTGTTTGTATCTTCCTTATAGGGCCCAAGTGGAGATAGAGGACCACGTGGAGAAAGGGTGTGTAATTTTTCAACTATTAAAGGGCTTTGGCCCATATTTTAATAACTACATATTAGACACTACTGGAGTCTGACAGTTTATAAAAATATTGTGTATCCAGATAATTGCCTTCCTTTTAAGCAGATAATGCCTTACAGAAAGTGAATGAGCATTATTCTATATAATCAGTATTATTTTTAGGTCAAGATTATCCTTTAAGAAAGCAGACCTATTAGAGACAGCCATATCTTTTGCATGGTCTATCTTTCTTTGTTTTAAGTTGACATGTCCAACACGTACATAAGGGAGATGTACCTACCCACTAGCACATGACCCTCCCCTTTCCAACATGCTTTATTTACTGTTCAAGTAAGATCTCTTAGGGAAGCTGAATATAATAGTGAACCAGCAGTCAACAACATGTTTCTGTTTACATTAATAAATGTATAAGTTAGGCTTGCATTTTATTCACGGTGTTCTTAGATGTCCTTCCTATATTTATGTGGTATGTGTAATCACATGGTTTTTCACTATATGACACTTTCATCAATATATAAATACCCATACCTTGTATTCACTGAGAAGTGCAGATGTAAATGTAGTCCATTCAAGCAATTTATTATAGGTAGGATTATGTCAGTAAATTACTGTAACAACATAAATAGTATTAATGGTAGGAAAACTGCAGGATTTTCTATGCTGTGATAAAATGACTATTAATTATCATATCCATTCATCTACTTTTCACACATAACATGCTAAAATAATTGAGTAAATTCATCAATCAGAAATTGACAGTCAATATACATAGTATATCACTGTGCACTGTTAACCATATGAATTTATAGCTATAAGTTTTAGCTTTATTTGAATACTGGAGCTCCCTTATGATTCAGTATCAAATGGCTGACATAGTTCTCTTCCAAGAGGAACTATCCTGTCTTGTGTCTTCTTTGGACACCAGCTACTAAACCTCCTTCTAAAACAGACCCATGTCAACAGTGACAAATGTGGCATTTTAAACTTCCACACCACTTGTACCTTCTGACCAACTTCTGATCTTATCACATGGATCCTGAGGGCTCCTTTCTGAAGTGCAGGTCTCCGTGAAGCCTGTCTACCCCGACCTAACTTACTTTTCCCATCACAGGGCCCACCAGGTCCACCAGGCAGAGATGGTGATGACGGCATCCCGGGCCCTCCCGGTCCCCCTGGCCCTCCCGGCCCCCCTGGTCTTGGCGGGGTAAGGTGTCTTTAAGTACCGTTAGCTTCAGTTTCTTATACCTGTGTTGGAAGAAGATGCATTGGGGAATTTATTTTTAGTGGTTTTGAGGAAGAGTCTGGTATTTGGGTATTAGTATAGTATTTTATTTCGTTTCTTTGGTTTCTTCATTCAAGATTCTCCTTTGCCAGATCTCTTTGTGAGCCCTTGTCAATTACAGGACAGGTCTTTGTGATCACTGAAGGTAGCTGCAGCCCTCGTGACCGTTATTTAATTTGGGAATTTAACATCTTTTATCAGTGGGGCACAAATAAGAGGGGCTGCATTATTAAAAAGTTTGATTAGATTGAATTATAAATGAAATCCCTGATCTTAAGCAATTTCACAAACATCCTACTCTTTTTATTCTCCTTGGCTTGAAGTCTGCAGAACCAACATTCAAAGCCGTTTTGGGTTTAATTTGCTTGAAACTAATTTGAGAAAAGTACATTTCCCTTTTTCATTAATATCTTCTTTTAGCTTTATGCTTTAACAATGCTATGAGCGCCAAATGGCCTCACTGCAGGAAGGAAAACATATTTGCTTAATTGGTTAGCACTATGAATCAGAAGCCTGATTCTAATGCCCAACTATATGCCAGTAAAATAAGACCTTTCTCCCCCAAAGATCTTATTATGATTGCTTATCTACTGAGTGCATTAAAAAGCACCTTCTTTAATAGATCTACCACTATAAGAGAGATCTTTAACAGTAACTATTACTGGTGAACTATTTTTAAAAGTTTAATCTTCCAAGGGGCATTTTAATTTAAATTTCCTCTAAACTTGAATACTCTTTATACTCTTTTTGAAACTACAGCAAGAAAAAGATCCCTTAGTCGTTTTGTGTAGTTCCGGAGGAACAGGGCAACAGGTGGAAATGCAAAGTTGTTCTCTTAGTTTCTGCTTAATTTATCAGGGGCCCCCAATGACTTTTCAAGTTTAGAAAGCTCTTTTCCTCAATGTACAGGTAGAGGGTGGGGACTGAAGTGAGAGGGTTAACAGGGCAGGAAAAGTTTCAAAATAAAGTAGGGAAGCTCCCTATTTCAAACTAGGGGTGGCCCTAAATTTTAAATTGTTGAATTTTTTAAAGAATTTAGCTCAGTATGGAAGTCTAAATTAAGAAAGATGTAAAAAGTACTGCTCCCTTTTAAACATCAACAGAAAAATCTTTAGAAGTAGAATGAGAAAAATGAACTATATGGCCAATAGTTATTATATATATATATTTTTTTTTTTCTTTTTCTCCCATCTAGAACTTTGCTGCTCAGTTTGATGGAAAAGGAGGTGGCCCTGGACCAATGGTATGTTTATCTCTAATTTTTATCTTAGCCAAAAAATTATTAAATAGGGAATTTATTTTTAAAGTTCACATAGTTCACAAAGTTCATTTAGCTACCTAGGTTAATAGTACTCAAATCAGATAAAAGCAGTAGCTATTTTTGTATTCAAATCTATAAAAATCTAAGCCTAGGTAAGTGGGTTCCATTTTCTCTACAAACATGCCTCCTTATGATAGATCAGATATTTATTTCCAAGAAATAATCTCTGGACATAGTAACTATAATTTAGGCAAACCAATTTAATTTAGAAGAGTGATCACTCTGATTAACTTTTTTATGCCCTTTAATAGTGCATAGAATTTTAAGCAACCAGTAGAGACCCAGAACTGTGAAGTTCTATGGACTTGCTGGAAAGCATCAGCAAGTTCTAGTCTAGCCCGTTCATTTTCTGTGTGTGTGTGTGTGTGTGTGTGTTAGTTACTCAGGCGTGTCTGATTCTTTGTGACCGAATGGACTGGGGCCCATCAAGCTCCTTGGTCCATGGAATTCTCCAGACAAGATTACTGGAGTGGGTTGCTATTCCTTTCTCCAGGGGATCTTTCCAATCCAGGGATCAAACCCAAGTCTCCTCCATTGCAGGTAGATTCTTTACCATCTGAGCCACCGAGGAAGCTCATTTTCTATTTAGAGAGTTTAAGGTCTTTCCCGAGGACATGCATGTGGTTAATGACAGAAAGTCAGGCGAGATGTCTGATATTCAACATCATGGCTTATGTATCTAGTAACTTTACTTCATTCAACAAGTATTTACCAGTTATCTTCAATAAAACCCAAACTCTATTATGCCTTTGGGATACAAGCAGTGAATGTGACAGATTCTCACCATCTTGCAAGGAATTAATAACATAGGAAATGTTTCTTTTTATCCATTTTGATAAAAAATTCTTTCTAAAGTCTGATTAATTATAAATCAGTATAGGAGAGAATATGACTATGGTGATAAAAGTCTTATCTTTTACAAGTAAACCTTCTCACAAGCATTAGTGACTTTGTTAGGGAGAAAAAACTGATAAGAAAATGCAAAATATATACTAGTATATATAAAACAGAGGGGAAATTTGCTACAAGTAAAAACATTAAGCTGATTAAACACTGCAGTTTAGTACATACCCACACATAATTTAGTGATTTTTAAATTAATTACTTGCAAACAAAAGTATTTATCTGCCCAAAGTTAAGACAGTCCTTAAAATATAAATTTTACCTGGACAATGTACGCAGTGCTCTGTCTTCAAAAGATGTTCTGCTGTAGCTAATGGTCTGCAATAAGCTAATACACTGTAAGGGCAAGACAATATTTTCTGTAAATTAAAACTCTCACTTGAGAAGTAATATGCCTTTAATTGATGATTTCCAATTTTCTGATTTTGCTGCTAATTTAAAGCATTCATAGCTGAAATGAGGAAGTACTCTTGGCTTTGTTTATATTGGATATTTGAAATTAGCCATTTCAGCTTATGCTGGACATTAAAAGCAGTATCTATATCTCAAGAAGAAGCTAAAGAAAAAAAAGTAACTCATTAATTAAAAAAAAAAAACCACCTACATAAGTCTGGAAAGTTAATAAGGATTTCAGATTCCCCTGACTTCAGAACATCTTTCTAGTGGGCAAAAAGCATTATGTTTTACTTTTAAATATCAGTGAAATATAATTTAAAGCTTGCACATTGACAGGCATTCACAGACATATGTAATCAACAGATATGTGTTTCACAAACAGGCAAGATAGGCAGCAATAAAGCATTAAAATAAATTTCCATGTTGGAAAATCAATAACTATAAACCCCAAAGGGTTCTTCTCTGAATTAATGAGTAATCATTCTCTACCCAACAGCCTCCACAAAATAAACTACCTTTTATGTAAATGAAATTGTTGCAAATACATGGAAAAAATGAATAAATATAATTAAAAATTCATGGTGTCAGGGAAAATTATTTTTTAATGTACCCCTGAAAATGTTATTTTGATTGAATAGTGACAGTTTTTCTTTTAACGTGGAAGCAATTTCTAAAACCAAAAAAAATAATAATAATAATTCTTCTTATTAAAATGATGTGCTTTTAATAAAATCCGTATTGTTTCACTCTGGGCATTAATACAGTGGGGCAGACTTGACTGCAGAGTCCCCATAGACAAATTACCTGAGGCTTGTTTGTGCAATATTTTCAGCGTTAGAGGCATGGCCTCTCCAGAAGAAATTGCATGGGCCTTGCAAAGGGGGCTCACAAGGTGTATGCAGCTCCCAAACCAGCAACACTTGGTTTGACTCTGTGTGCTACAGAGTGAAGAACCAAGGGGAGAACAGTCTGCTGCCATTTGGGCCGTATTTTCAGTAATAGTAACGTAGTCTGCTGCCATTTGGGCCGTATTTTCAGTAATAGTAACGTATAATAGATTCTTCCAGTAGGAAGTTTCAATAAATGTTATTTTGCCTTCACCCCTTACTACATCCACTTTTGTTTGACATTTTCAGCAGCCACCAATAGCCTTTAATGGAGCCATAAGATTATAACAAAGATTATAACATAAGATTATTAAAGAAAAGATTATAAGCTCCCTCTAATCATTAAGAAAGACTTTTGATCCTTTGCAGTTTGTGCCCCTGGTGGCAATAACAATACCAGTTTCTTAGCTAGGTAGGATATGAGGAGATGACATATGATCAGTCCAGATGGAAACCCTTCACTGGCTGAACGCACCGTAGTTGTATATTCTGTACCATGCAAAGCCTGAGTCACCTCATTTCATTAGAAGGATCTCAGCATGCCCTACTGCACGCGAATTTAAGGCGCCGGTGGCCGCGCCATCCAACCAAGTTATGGTCTGGGTTAGGAGAAGAGGTGAACGCAAAGGCAGAGAAACAGTGGAAGAAACTTGGGTCAGTAAATGCTTCCTTGCGAGGGACAAAAACTTACGAAGTGAAACCAGGCCAGTTCTGTTCACTGGTCCACCACAGGCTGTGGCACTGCTGAGCTGGTCCTGTCGGACCCGCCCCTACGCCACGATGACTTGCCAGGGCTAACTGTGTCTGTCCCCTTCACAGGGGCTGATGGGACCGCGCGGCCCTCCTGGCGCCTCTGGAGCCCCGGTAAGTACCGGGAGCCTGCACTCTCTCTTGTGTAAAGAAGACAGAGTAGTCAAAGGCTTGGGGTGTGACTCACTGTGTTTCTCTTAGGGCCCTCAAGGTTTCCAGGGACCTCCTGGTGAGCCTGGTGAACCTGGTCAGACTGTGAGTACTTCTACCGCTGTGTGATAAGTATTTTTTTTCCCAAGAGGTTTATTAATATAGCATTAACAAAATGAGGGGTCTTCTGTTTCCTAGGGTCCTGCTGGTGCTCGTGGCCCACCTGGTCCTCCTGGCAAGGCTGGTGAGGATGTAAGTGTTTACTCCTAAGCATTTCCAAGTATGCCATTTAAATACTCCTGCCTCAAATAGAATTTCGAGATTCAAATGAAGTATTCTGCCAAAAGCTGAATATGCCTGATGTAATTCTCCCCATATGGAAAGTAATGTTTTTAATGAAATAATGACTAATTTTCTTGTATTTAAGGAAATATCATTGTTAATTAGATATGTATCTGGATCCACATTTTTATATAATGAGTTTTTTCACCCTATTGTAAAAGCCAAGATGTCCCCACGTTCATCTGATAGTTTACTAAGAAAAGGTTTACCCTCTATGATGCTTTGATGTTTTAGGGTCACCCTGGAAAACCTGGACGACCTGGTGAGAGAGGAGTTGTTGGACCACAGGTAAGATTTTTTTTTTTAATAACAGCATATAGTCCAAACATCAGAGGTATCTCATGTATAAAATAGTTGCTAAAACTAGAATCAGACTAAGTGGCGACATAGATGTCATACTTATGACACTCACTGGGGGCATCCAACAAATAAAGGAGCCTAGTTAAGAATGCATAGTTTTTATTAATGCTAATAATGTAGCATTAATGACAGTAAGCATATTGTAAACAACTAAATTGTGGGTTCTAAGAGTATCATAGGGTTAGTTACTCAAATTATAGCATCTTAATCACCTCTCTGCACTTACACATATGCTAGTCTTTGATTCCAAGCTTGGACTTTGATGAGGAGAGAGACTTTGGAGGGAGGAAATCAGGATATCTTTATTTAGAACAAAAATGTCATCTGTCATCTGTGTTTCTTTTTAGGGTGCTCGTGGTTTTCCTGGAACTCCTGGACTCCCTGGATTCAAGGGCATTAGGGTGAGCACTTTCTTTACCCACAAAAGAGAAAATGTTGATTCCTTTAAGTGAACACCTCAGGTACCTTTAAACTCCTGGATAACACATATTGATTCCAAATTCCTGGAATTTGCCCCAGTGGAGGGAGAGTTAAAGAGTAAGGTGGCCAGAAAGTAAAATGGAATGTAGCTTTTTTTTTTTTTAGTCTGGTCATAGCTTCCAAGAAATGAGGATCCTACTGAGAAAACTATATTAAATGGGTCCAACTTAAGAGGTATCTAAAGCTGTCTGAAGATCATAAAATTATTAATGATGGAAAGTACGTGAGAGAGCATCTAGTTCTTTATGCTTCTCTTTCAAGTGAAGGAGATTTAGTGACTTCCCTAGGGCAACAGAGGGAGTTTGTCAGGGGCTGGGGCACTGGGACATCATATTCTACTGAAGCAGTCACAAGATTCTCAGAGAAAGAGTAACTGCAAAGATAAAAGATGTTTGAGTTGACCGATCACTGTAATGGAATAGCATTTTAATAATGAGGATTTGCTTTTCAGGGTCACAACGGTCTGGATGGATTGAAGGGACAGCCTGGTGCTCCAGGTGTGAAGGTAAATACTAAATCAGAAGTCTTGTTTTTAAAATGATTGTAATTTCCTGTCATCATCAACAAAATATATTTTACTGAAGGCTACTCATATTCTGAAGCATATCTGATTTCCTCCTCAATTATTTAAGTCCCTCAATGGTCCGGACTATGTGATTCTGTAACAAAAGGCCAAATATTAATAATATTCATTTAATTTAATACCTATTAAATGATTGAGATAAAATAATGTCAATAGTTTCTTCCTTCATTTCCTTTCCTCCTGTAATTTCAGTTGCTCTCTGTAGCCAAAATAAAAGTAAATAAACATATAATCAGATATTAGAACACTATGTTATTTTAAACTGTAAATTCCCCTTTGCCATGCACTAATTAGATAGGTACATTCATGTCACAATACACTTTTCAACCTCTTTCCTGTGATTTATCTGTGCACACTCAAAAAAATTTTAATTAGGTAATTAAAGTCTCAGAAGTGTGTTATCTCTTGGCTGGGCTCTTCTCTGACAGCGTTTTCAACTATAAAATGTTCTCTCTCCTATTAAGGAGATAATGTGATATTAAAGTGAATACCAACGTAATTACAAATTAATGAGTAACGAATACTAGTGGGACCAGAAATGAACATGAATATGGAGAATATGTTCTAGCTCTGCAGCTGCCACACAAATGGATAAGGTCAAACTTCCCCTCCCTGGAGCCTAAGATAATAGCTCAGACTACTAATCACAGCATCATCAAATGCTGGGGCTGCAAGGAGCCTTGGAGACACTCTCGTTTTGCAGATGAGGGAAACTGAGGCTTAAAGAGAGAGTGACTTGCCCAAAGTCACACATCTAGTAGAAGGGCACAGGCTAGAATTCCTGACTCCCACTCTGGGGCTTACTCACAAAGAGTACACTTCAGATAAAAATCCTAGAAATGAAGCATTTTAAATGGTCTCACAAACCTGGTTTCTTCTATATCTAAATTAGATCATCTGGAAGGAAAGTTCCTTTTCACGTGCCTTTGTATTAAATTACCACCACCACCACCACCATGGTTATACTCAAGAATGTAGATTGAACCTAAAAAAAAAAAAAAGAATGTAGATTGGAAATAATACAGCTCTATAAAATATTAGGAAGCTTCAAATTTTCATGCATATTTTATAAAAGTAAAAATACTATGTACAAAATAACTTTAAAGAGGGTAAATATGTTGCAAGCAATTTATTCTATTGTCTCTTTTTATGTTATTGTTCCTAATAGATAAGCCTCATCTAAATGATATCCAAAATCTAAGGGGGAAATTGGGGAAAGGGTAGCTAACACTCAACCACATTTCCCTAATACTGTGGTATCTTATATCATCTAAATAAAAAACCATATTTTATACATTTTTAAAACTTATGTGATTGGCATAATTGAGAAACAGTCTATGTAAGAAATGTTACAAAATACATGAGTGGTTGAAACTGAAGTGATAATGTAAAAATTGATCAGAAAAAAGTAACTGACATGTATAATGAATAAAAACTCAATCCTTCTCCATATAGGGTGAACCTGGTGCCCCTGGTGAAAATGGAACTCCAGGTCAAACGGTAAGTATTGATCACTTTACTGTAAATACAAAATGCGTACCCTCTTTGCAAGCTGGAACTTCTTTCATGTTTTTGCTAATTACCATTTCCTTTGGCAGTGTATTCTTTGATATTTTTCTAATAGCCTTCTGCCTAGTTAATTGAAATCCGTTACCTTTTAGTTGGAATTAGAACAAGACCTATTTATTTCCAGTGGATTCTTGCACATGTTAGAAATTGGAAAAAAGGCAAATGATTCCCGTGACTTTTTCTTGAATTAGCAATTCTGGATCTCATTGGAAATGTTTCTGCTTCTAGGGAGCCCGTGGTCTCCCTGGTGAGAGAGGACGTGTTGGTGCCCCTGGCCCTGCTGTGAGTGCTTCCAGTTTGGTTCTTTTTTATTCTTTTTTAAAAGCTTCTAATATATGCCATTTAACTTTGCACTTGACTTTTTTTCTCTCTTTTCTTCATAGGGTGCCCGTGGAAGTGATGGAAGTGTGGGTCCTGTGGGCCCTGCTGTAAGTTGTGACACTGAAGAATTTGGAAGGATT